AAACAACAGAACGTGGAACTTATTTAATCAAACATAATTCTCATTCATCAAGGAATAACAAGTGAAATATCCACTAAAGCAAAGCTTAAGTATATAACACCAACAATACATGGTGGACAATGCGGCCGGAGGTGATATCGGGGCCAAGACGGCTGAAGAGATGATTGCGATCTATGAGACGATGAGTGCTAACTCGTCTCAGAAGAGCATTAGAGGGAAGAGGTCCACAGTGAACGAGGTCGCACCGGGTGATAACGCTATGGCCCAACAGTTAGCCGAGCTCACAGAACAAATGCGGCTACTAAATGCAAAAATTCTTTGCCTATTCAGGCTATGGCCGTGAGTGCTTGTGGATCATGAAGAGTACAGGGACACAGTTCTGAGGTATGTCCTGTGGCTATCGAGCCGAACTATGGGGGGAAAGGAGCTGAACTGAATGCAGTGCAAGGTTATCAGAGCAGGTCCGGGAATGACCCGTATTCGAATACCTATAATCCCGAGTGGAGAAACCACCTAAGCTTCTCCTGGTCTAACAATAACACTCAACAGCCATCTCAGCCTAACTTTGTCCCCCCATCACCAGCAACACAGGGGACAAATGTTAAGGTTACTAGCACCAAAAGCCGGACTGAGCTCGCCAAAATCCAACGAAAAAACTGGATAAAATTCTTCAGTACATGGCCAATAGTGAGCAGCGGAGTTCGAACAGTGAGGCTTCTATTAAACGTTTGGAAGCACAGATAGGCCAGTTAGCCACCCGAGTGGGGAACCTTGAGGTAGAGCTGAAGAAAGACATACTGCCGAGTCAGCCGGAGCATGTGAATGTTGTTACAGTGCTGATGTCTGAGCCAGAGGAGAAGACGGTTTCCAAAGCAGAGAAACAAGAGGAATAAGGCTCGAAGGAGCAAGGAAAACCGGAAGAAGAGCCCCCAGTGACACCAACACCTGAGCCTACCCTTCACAAATCCCAAAACCCCTACAGGCCGAGGATCTATTTTCCAGGCTGATTTTTGGAAGAAAAGGACTGCCGGATGATTCAAGACATTCATGCACTGTTGGTTGAGGCCAACAATGACCTATCTCCCCACGATGTGCTAAAGAAAATCCCGACATATGCACGATTTTTCAAGGAAGTTGCAGCAAACAAGCAGAGGCTTGAGAGCAGTGAAGAGGTGCTCCTATCTGAGGTGGCAAATGTTCTCCCACATTACTTGCCGAACAAAGATAAGGACCCCGGAGGCTTCGTGATCACTATGTTCTTCGGGAATGGGGAGGAGACCTCAGGGATGCTCAATCTAGGAGCGAGCATAAACCTTATGCCACTTTCAATATATCCGGCTGGGGCTTGGAGACTTGAAGCCCACCAGGATGCGTTTACAGCTGGCTGACCGCTCGTTCTGTCTACCAGAAGGGATTGTTGAGGATGTTCTTGTCCGAGTGGGGAAGCTGATAGTCCCCGTGGACTTTATTGTGCTCGATGTGGGAAACATGCAATACAGTGAGAAGCAGCATACCATCCTCCTCGGGCGACCCTTCATGGCTACCACCAGCAGA